GGGGGGTGGGGGGGTGGGAAGGGAAAGGTATCAAAGCCTGTGCTCAAGACTGGATATGCAGCTAGCTCAGTGGTAGAGCATTTGCCTAGTTTGCCTAGCATGCCTGAGCCCTGGGTTAGTCCCCAGCACTGCAAATAAAAGCCAAATCTGAAAACACCCTGAAGCTCAGAGTTACTTGTCCACAGCCAAATAGCTGGGGAGTGGGAGAACTGAGATACTGGCAGTGTCTGTGGGAAAAATGGAAATAGCCCAGAGGGCAGTTTGATGGTGGACTCCGTGCAGGGGTTTGAGGAGAGGAAGGGGTATCTCCGTCTCCTTCACTGAGTTACCCACTAAGGATTGTTCTGGCTGCTCTCCAGGACCAGGCAGGCCCCTGGAGCAAGGCCTGGCTTCGATACACCTTTCAGAAATGCAGCGAGAAAGAGGACTGAAGAGCCTGCTTGAGGTGCATTCCAGCTATGCCTGAGGTACAGGAGCCACTTCACTTATTGGTTAAACCTCCCCTGGCATCTACTTCTGCCCCTCAGAGTAGGTAGCACACAGTTTAAGCAAACACTCTGGAATTTCATGCAGGTGGCACCCACTAATTCCAGCAAGGAAGATCATTTGAGTTTGTTTGTTTGGTTGGCTTGGGCTTTGCTTTTCTGAGACAGACTGTCACTGTAGTCCAAGCTGGGCTTGAACTCTCTAGGTAAACCCAGGCTGGCCTCAGACTTGCAGTTCTGCTCTAGCCTCCCAAGTTCTGGGTTACAGGCGTAAGCCACTATGCCTGGCTAATTTGGGTTTTCAAGAAAAAGCTGCAAATCCAATACTCTTAGAAGTCAATCAGTATTCAGTCTTGTGGCCAATGCGTCTTATTTTCCACAGCATCTGTGAATCAACCTCGCAAATATCCTTGGAGACAACAGCTTTCTGAGAGCAATTTCCTACAGAGTGCAGGCTTAACTAATATTTACTGAACACTTAATACATACCAAGCACTATGCTGCATTCATAATATCTCATTGAATCCTCAAAACAGCCATACAGAAAGTAAATCAGTATCCTCAGTTTCTACAGATGAGAAAAGTAAGACTCAGAAGAGTTAAATCTCTTGCAGTCACAAGCCAGTATTTACCTGTAGATCTAGAAGGGAAGCATGGCGTCCTGACTGAGGTTCTAGCGTGATCACTAGATCAGGCTGACATGTCCCCTAAATTTGCTCCAGTTCCCCAACCACCTGTGAGTGAGTCCAAGGACGAGGGGGAACTTCCCAACACATTTGGAGGAGATGAATATTTCTATTTCGATTCCTACAATAGTTCTGTATTTCACCCTAAGCATCCAAACTTATTCTGGTTTCCAGCAAGTCTGTGGTGGATTCCTGCTCCATGTCTGGGGCATCACTCCTGGGGAAAGCAGCGAAATGGAGTTCCTTAAGAGGCAAAGCATGAGCCAGGCATGGTCATCCCAGCACTTGGAGGCCGAGACAGGAGTGCAAGTCTGAGCCCAGCCTGGACCATGAGTGATCCAGCAAGACCATGTCTCAAAATAAAAATTTAAAAGGGGGAGGGCAGGAGGTAGAGTGTTGCTCAGTGCAATGGCTCAGTGCATTCAGCCCCCAGAACTGCCCACCCCAAGCATGTCAGGTTTGGTGGCGCATGCCAGCTACTCCAGAGGCTGGAGCAGGAAGATCACAAGGTCAAAGCTAGCCTGGGCAACTTAGCAAGATTCTGTTTCAAAAAAAAAAAAAAATTAAAATCTCTAGGGGATATACCTCTGTGATAGAGCACTTGTCTAGTATGGACAGAAACCTAGATTCAATCCACAGTGCCACAGAAAAGAAATCAAGAGAAGAGAGGAGAAAGAAAAAGAGAAAAAGAAAAGCAGAGGACCATAGCCATCTTGATATGCTTTATTTTAAGGACCATCTTATACCGTCTGGCTTCTTTTGCTTAGGTCTTTGGTCAGAGAGGGCTCTTAATTCAGTGTCTGACTGATTTAATCTATGATACTTTAACTCCCTGACCTCCTAATATGAAGTGTTGGGAGTACATTACATATATTCTCTCTTAGTTATTTATTTTAAGTGTTTCCTAACCAAAAAACAATTTTTTTGAGGCAGGGTCTCATTATGTAGTTCAAGCTGACCTTGAACTCACTGATGACCCTAGGCTGGCCGAGAACTCTTGGTGATCCTGTTGTGCCCAGATCGCGATGTCCCAAAGACCACCAGGAGACCGTTTCCGATGTAAGCACACGAGGGTCGTTTATTCAAGCTTAAGCAGGGACTCTCAATTGTCACCGACGCAGCGGATCGAGATTGAGAGCCCTGAGTCCCTAACTAGCAGGGTTTTTATTGAGACTACAACAAGCTTTGGTTGTTAGTAGCCAGGTG